CAAGCTACTTTTTTGAAAAAGAAGTTTTACTTTATGTGTTTTGTGTGTTTCTGTTTATGTGAGAGCTGGTAAAACCTTGGAGGAAAGCGGGAGGAGAATAATTGTAAACAAGACAGAGGGAAATATGAATATGATGATTAAATTCAATGAGAAGAAATATTAAAATCACATTGTATAAAATATTGTATTATCTGCCTTGTAAAAATTTACAAGGGAAAGAGGTTTAATGTGTACAAGGTTTATGTTTTGTTTGTCTTCAAAAGCTAATAACTTGTTTTTAAAAAAATAAAAAATAAAGATGATATAACTAAACAAAAAAATATCCTGTGAACATTTGCAATCATTTATTCAATAAAAAGTGAACAAGCTGTTTCTTTCTATTGAAAAAGCAAGCATGCCGTTGGCTGTAATATTTGGTCTTATCTTCTTTGGTAGAAACAACTTTTTTAAAAAAGTTTTTTATTTATTTTGACAACAAACATTGACAAATACAAACATTGACAAATACAAATAAAACCATCTTTCCATTGTTCACTGTGTTGTTTGGTACATATCTTTTGTGCACTATATCAACAGTCTTTCCCTTCTAAATTAAAATTAAAATTCATATTATATAGATCAACTATGCATATTATATTATATTATTGTTAACTCCTTATTAGACTTTAATTATAAGTTCACGTCATCCTTTACGAGTAAATCTCAACTTTTACAAAATCTAGTTCATAATATCATTCATTTCATTGTAGTCAGTTATAACATATCATTCAATTGTCTTATCTTTACTATTATGTTGTATTTATATTATAGTGTATTTTATTTCGCTATTTTCTTATCTAGCCATTGATAAATAAATCCCAAATTTTGTAATCTTCTTGCTCTCTAATTGCTAATGTCAATTTACTCATTTCTGCACATTCCATTATTTTCTTAATCACCTCTTCTATCACAATTTTTTTACTTTTCCAGTTTTTAGCAAATACAATTCTAGCTGCTGTTAAAAATTTATAATCAGATATGTCAATTTCCTACTGTATCCTTCAGGTAAGATACCCAATAAAAATATCTCTGGTTTCAAGTCTACATGCTGTTTTGTCATTTTTTCCAACCTTGTATGAATTTTAGTCCAGTTTCTTTTGGCTTCCACACATGTCCACCACATATGATAATATGATCCAGATATCTGATGACACTTCCAACATTTCTCCGATTTATTCTTGAACATCCTTTCTATTCTTGCCAGGGGTGAATGCCACCTATAAAACATCTTATACAAATTCTCTTTATATGCTATTGACATTGTTATTTTATAGTTTCGAGACCATAATTTCTGCCATTTCTCTAAGTCTATCCCATATCCAAAATTTTTCCCCATGTGCTGTTGGGCTATCTGCTTATAACCTATACATGGGAATGTTCATTCTTGGAAAGTTCTACCAAACTTTCTCCCTCCTCCATCTACTTTCCAGCTAGACTTATTCTACTAGTCTTTTTCTATTTATTAGTTTGAGATATATATTAGTTTACAATCTGGCAGACAATTGAAAATTGCCCTTCTTTTCTTGCCACAAAATATCCCTTACTATTTTTCTAGAAAATAAACACATGAAATTTTATGAAGATAGATCAGTTTGTTCCTGTTGCTTTAATGTGTCCCATATATCAGCTCAAAGGATGAAAGATGTGCCAGAATGACTTAGCCAGACTTGATACTTCAAAAAGCTAGTTGCTGGAATACTGCAGAAAGTTCTAAGATTTATTATGTGGTTTTAATTATGAGGAGAACAGAAAGGACTTCTTGCATATTAAAATGGAGTTTTAATCCTCATGCAACAGGACTCACAATTAAAGTTTGTGACATTCCTATAAACAGAAAGACCACATGTGATTTATGAACATATATACTAAAATGTTTACAAATGGACAAATGAAAAGAATATAGAAATGAAGTCCAACTTTTAAGAAACAGAATTTTTGCATTCTGGGACTTTAATTCTTTAATTAATTAATAATTAGTTTACATTTTGAAGATTTCCTCTGCAAACATGAAGCAGGATATATGAGGAAAAGATTCTTGATTTTAAAATCCTATTATTGTAAGATATGGAATAAAATTGACTCAAGTAGATCCTATTATTTTATCTGTTTTAGCATACTTTACTGGTAACCTGTGTTCAGGTGAAATGTATGGTTTCATCACTGATGATTTCAAGAAAGCACCCAGCTACCAGTCGATAATAGGACTTTGTAAAAGAGATAAGTGATATACTATCACTTGTACTTTAAACTTGGTACTGTAGGAATTCTGTACCCATTTAGATATTGAAAGTACACTAGCCAAGTTATTTGCTCATGGCTCCCATTTAGAGTGAATGTCATGAAACGATATTTTCTAACTTAGTGCACTTCAGATGTGTTGATGTGCTCCAAAGTCCAATCAATCTGAGGCTAGAAGGTTAATTAAGTCAGCTTCAAATTTCTTTCTGTTGAAGAAGAATGCAACAAATATGAATTTACTTTTAAATTTTCACTTTCTTACTTTCACATAAACATGAAAAGAATTGATTTGTTATCTTAAGTGTCCCTTGAGGTCATACTTAGCCTTGAGCATGCACTTATTTTCTTTCATTATGGAGCTTTCAGAAACAATTTTGAGAGAGTTAAATCAATCTGACAATCTGACAAATAGGGAATGCATCAGGATCCATTCTTACACTTGCACAATTCTTGCCAAAATAAAGTATCCTATCCCACCCTACGCTATCCTACCTATTCCATGATGCTGCAGATATGCTGTATATATGACTGTTTTGTAACCATATATTCCACTGTCCATTCCTATATTTATCTTATTTATATTTCTCCTTATTACTTGGTGATTTATCTCAGAAGGAACTGCAGAAATTATGTGAGAATTTTAAATATTCTATTATGAACTATGGAAACTGGCAATTTGCAAACAACATTATTTTAGCAGAAAGTAAGTAAAGCAGTTACAAAGGAATACCCCCACTCCCATATTAGAATGGACTTCTAAAGAATGTTGAGAAGGTCATAGTAACCTAGTTAAAGTAGTAATACTAGTAGAAAGAGCAAAGCTATGGTTAGAATATTATTCTAACTGGGGTTTGTACATTCTTAATAACTTTAAGCCATAATATAGCTTAATTCTGTTCAGCTTCTTATGAGTCCTAAATACAGCACTTCTTTGCTTGGAATTCTGGACACTAAATTCAGCTTAATAGTACAAGTGAGACCTCCAGGACAATGCACAGCATGCAAATTAACAAGAGAAAGAAAACAAATACTGTAACTCTAGTGACTACCTTCCATGCCACTGATACATGAATCTCATTTTAATTATTGGGCACTAATTACTCTTCTCTCTGCTTGAAAGCACTGCACAAGAAAAAAATAAAGACCTTGTTGAGGATCCAAACTTTGTCAAGGACCTTGGAGTACTCATCTCAAATTATCTAAGTGCTAGAGCTCACTGTAACTACATAGCCAAAAAGGCATTCATCCACAAAACCTTTAATTAATAGAAGCCAAAGATGTTTCAATGTGCTGGCAAAGATGCTGGCAAAGATGTTTCAATGTGGAAAAGGGCCTCTAAACTAGGCCTCATTTCAATCTGATGCATCAGGTCTCTCTCTCTCTCTCTCTCTCTCCCCCTCCCCCCTCCATCCCTCCATGCCCCCTTCTTTGTCCCTTTTTCTTTCTTTCCCTTTTCTCTTTCTTTTCCTCCTTCTCTCTTTTCTCTCTCTCTCTTTCCCTCTCCCAGGCTCACCCCATTGATTTGGTGTACCGCTCCGCTCGGACTTGCTTGGGCAGGTCCCTCCAGTGCAGCGGGCTCAATGGGGTGGACCTGTGAGGCCGGCACCTAGAACGCAGCAGTGCCGGCACGTTTGAAAAGTAGAGCAAAGCCAGAGGTCGGTAATTTTTGCTGCAAAGAATCACAAAAGCTTCTGGGTTGTGCACAAGAATGGACACACATATCAATGCAATTCAGCAACATAAAATAAAGAAATACAAATAAAACAAATCAACAAGAATCGGCAATCATCTCTGGTTAGATTCTATTCACCCTAACCCTAACCTTTTGCCAATTCTAGTCCAATGACCTGCTCCAGCAGGGTTGGAAGGGAGTATGTGTATATGTGTGTGCATGGCTGTCAAAACTCCAAAAACAGGTCAAGTAGTTCTGGGGAGGCCAGTCATAAATTAGAACACTTGCTAAGCAACTGGCCATTAAGTGAGGTCCACTTGTATTTGTTTTGCCAGTCACCAAACTACTTTCACCCAGTCACGTGACCAGCAAGCCACACCACCAGTCGTGTGACCAGCAAACCACGCCCGCCCAGTCATGTGACCAGCAAGCCACACCCACCCAATCACGGGACCAGCAAATCACACCCTCAAATTAGTCCATGCCCACAGAAATTTGAATCCTGCCCCTGGGTGGGGGGCATTGAGGATGAATTTGTAGCACCAAGGGGGCGGTGGACTGAAAAAGTTTGGGAACCACTGTTCTAGACCTAGAACTACGCCACCTCCGGTCCGATCTAAATATAGTATATTAAATCATACATTGCAATGTCCTACCTGCAAATGAATACTTCAGCTTCAATCATAACAATACAAGAGCACACAATAGATACAAACTCAAGGTTAACCGCACCAAACTTGACTGCAGAAGTTTGTTTACTTCAGCAACAGAGTGGTCAATGTTTGAAATACTCTACCTGACTCTGTGGTTTCTTCCCCAAACCCCCCAAAACTTTAATCTTAGACTGTCTACTATTGACCTCACCCCCTTCCTAAGAGGCCTGTAGGGGGGGTGCATAAGCGCACCAATCGGACCTACTGTCCCTGTCCTATTGTTTTTTATTTTCTTATATGTACCCATGTATTCATAACTATGTTTATCTTGTAAGCAATTGACAAATCAAGTAAAATATAAATGTAAAACATTTACATGTAAAAGGTGTCCTACTCACAGAGGCAACAAGCCCCATATACTGTATTACCTGACTCTTCTTGATAATTGTTGTGGTTCACCGGCAGCAGGTGTGGACAGCTGAGGTCTCTGAGAGCGAAGACTCAGACGAAGGGCCTGCGTGTGATGCAGGGATGGAGCCAGGGCTATCAGAGAATGGGGTGCTGCCTTCGGAACTTGTGGAGTCTGGCAGCAGTGATGCAGAGGACCCCGAGGAACCTGTGCCCAGTCCGCACACACGTAAGCAGGGCTGCTCCAAGAAAAGAGCAGCTGCAGCAGCACGGACGACCCAGGAGTAAGGCTGCAAGCTGATGGCCCCTCCCATAAGGGATAAAAGCCAGCCCCCAGGAGTTGGGTTCTTTGCAGGAAGCAAAGTTCTTGCACTTCAAGTTCTCGTGGATGTTCGGTTTATCCCGGTTTGTTTTTGGAGACTTTTGCCTTTGAATATTTCCTTGCATTTATGTTCTTGGCAGCCTTGCACAGCCTTTACGGGGCTTGCTCTTATCTGGGACAATTAGTTTTAATAGCAGTTTGCTGTGAATGAACAGAATTCACAGAGACGCATTTAAAAGATTTTGCTTTTATCTATGTTTTGTGTTTGTTTGATTTGAACAAGGCTTGGGTCAGAACAATAATGTGGATGTCAAAATAGAGCCCTTTAGGAAGGGAAGCCATAAATGCTGAGAGATTGGGTAGAAATGCAAATGCATTGCAAAGTATCATTGCCAAGGATGACTCTTCTACTTTGGAGGGGAGGAAGGGTTTGACACTGCTGATAATACATTCTGTAACTGTGAGAGGGACCTTGGAGTCCTAGTGGATGATCATATGAACATGAGTCAGCAGTGTGTGGCAGCCGGAAAAGCTAATACAATCCTCGGTGGTATAAACAGAGGCATAGAATTAAAATCATGTGTTAGTACCACTTTATAAAACCTTAGTAAAACCACATCTGGAATACTGCATTCAGGTTTGGTCACCACATTACAAAAAAAATGTTGAGACTTTGGAAAAAGTGTAAAGAAGAGCACTAAGAGGATTAAATAGATTAGAAGACTAAAACATATGAAGAACAATTGCAAGATTTGGTTTTGGCTAGTCTAGAGAAAAGAAGGCCTGGGGGCGTGGGGGACATGATAGCAGTGTTCCAGTATTTGAGAGTCTGCCACAAAGAGGTGGGGGTCAATTTATCAGCCTGAATGAATGAGACTAATGGACACGCGGTGTGTTTCTGAAATGGAGACTGATGTAATAGATCAGAATATGGCAGTGTCCTAGAGAGAGGGGAGGCAAGGAGCATTAAGAAACTTCCTAACAGTGAGGACAATTAACCAGTGGAACAGGTTGCCTTCAGAAGTTGTAGGTGCTTCATCGCTGGAGGTTTTTAAGTAGAGACTGGACAGTCACTTGTCTGAAATGTTATAGGATCTCCTGGTTGAGCAGGGGGCTGGACTAGAAGACCTCCAAGGTCCCTTGCAGTTCTATTCTGATTCATTGATTCATTCATGAGCACATTTACAATGTAGGATTGTAAATGGAGTCATGAATGTATTGCCAGCAGTATCTACAAAATAGCCACAACACAATACTCAGTGCCAGCTGGATTAATCATGTTAAGTCGCGGGAATGAGACTCAGGACACCAGCATGATTCCAATCTGTTTTACTTCCGTATAGGACTGAGCGCCGAAGAAACCGCGGCAGCCCTTGTTATAGTCGGGCTGCTTGCGGCTGTGGCCAGTGACGGCTCTTCAAAATTCCCGCCGCCATGGACTGACCAATTGCAGGTAAGTATGCTAATACATAACACCCCTCCCCACCTGGTCCGGTCCAACCAATATGAGCCTCACCTACTGTACATAATCACGTAGGTAGGCGGGGCTTTTATGGGTCCGACTGGACCTGCGCAACTCAGTCGCGGGTTGGCCTCTGGACTGTTTGGATGGATCTGTTGTTCCTTCCGTCCATCTTCTTGGAAGCTCCTGGCTGGTTGAGTCGGCCCGGCCACTCCCACCAGGGACTGCTTTTCCGCTATCCTTCTGGACCTGTTCCTGTCTCCCCGACCTGCCTTCTTCCCTGGCCTCAGGTACGTGTTTGCGTTTCCCGACCGGGGCTAGTGTTAGTAGTGGTTGTTGCGTAGTTGTCAGGTTTTCTTCTGTTATTTCTCTTGTTCGTGGAGGGTCTCCCCCTCCCTTTCTACTTGTGTTTTGTCTGTTTGAGGGGTCCCCCCCTCTTCTCTGGTTGTGTTTTGTTTGCTTGAGGGGTCTACCCCTTCCCTGTATTTGTTTTGTTTGCTTGAGGGGTCTCCCCCCTCTTCCGTGGGTCTGTTTAGGTTTCCCTTCATGGCTCTAGCTCTGAGCTGGTCTATGTGTCTCCTCCAGCTCCTCCCATCCCCAGTGTCTACCCTGTATGAACGGGGTCCGGTTATCTGGGTCACTTTTGCTGGTATCCACAATGGTTCCCCCATGAGGTTTTTTGCGTATACTGGGTCCCCTGTTTGAAATGTGCAGCAATTACTGTAGGAGTCTGCTGGTTTTTCTGGGCTATATGTGGGGTGTAGTCTGTCTAGGTGTGATCTTAGTTTCCTCCCCATGAGTAACTCTGCTGGACTTTTATTTGTTGTGGCACTGGGTGTCATGTGCTGAATGCTTAGTAGCTTATCTATCTTTTCTTGTGTGTCCCCAGGCCCCAGCTTTTGTAATGTTTCCTTTGTGTAACGTACCATGCGTTCCGCCCATCCGTTCATGGCTGGGTGTCCCGGCGCTGTCAGTGCGTGCCTTATCCTATGTTGTGCTAAAAACTCCTCAAATGTTGTTGCCGTGAATTGTGGCCCGTTGTCAGATACAATTAGATCTGGCAATCCATGTGTTGCAAAAAGTTTCCTGAGCTGTCTAATGACGCCTTCTGTTGTGGTGGAATGCATGATGCTTATCTCTAGCCATTTGGAGTAAGCGTCTACGACTATTAAAATGTATGTCCTTTGGTTGGGCCTGCAAAATCAATGTGTAGCCTTGACCATAGTCCCCTAGGTGTTTCCCATTCATGTTTTGGTGCTGTGGGGGGTGTTGGCTTAGATTCCTGGCAGCGTTTACATGTTGCCACCCAGTCCCCTATTTCCTTATCCATCCCTGGCCACCATACATAACTTCTTGCCAGGGATTTCATTTTTACAATACCCGGGTGTCCCTCATGTAACAATTCAAGTATGTGTTTCCTTAAAACGTCCGGTATGACCACCCAATCCCCCCATAGTACGCACCCCTTTAGCATTGAGAGTTCTGTTCGTCTATTCCGGAACGGTTTGGTGGTCTCGTCGCTCTCAGTTTCTGGCCATCCTTTTCCTACCCAATTTAAAATCCGCGCCAGGGTTTTGTCTCTAGCTGTTTCCCTAGCAATGTCTGCTGCCGTCACGGGTAGGTTTTCTAATGTCTCTATTTGTAGTGTCGATGTGGTTGGTGCTGGAATGTCTTCTATGTCAGGTAGAGGGCAATGGCTAAGGGCGTCAGCATGATTTATGTCTTTTCCGGGTTGGTAGGTCAGTTTGTAGTTATAGGCAGCCAGGAATTCCGACCACCTTGTCATTTGTGGTGATAATATATTGAGTGTAGCTTTGTTTTCTGCGATTATGCCCAGGAGTGGCTTGTGGTCTGTGATTAGTGTGAAGATTCTCCCGTAGATATATTCGTGGAAATGTTTTATTCCAGTGACAGCTGTCAATGCCTCTTTGTCTAGTTGACTGTAGTTCTGCTCCGGCTTT